CGGGATTTATTGGTGTACTCTATATCAGACCATCTTCCCAACGATGCATCAATCTGAGGCTTTGCATCGCTGCATCCGGTTGCATATAAAAAACATATTGTGTGGGAGAAAAACGCGCGTTTTCTTATTGGTTAAATAGAAAGAATCAATCCTTCACCATCATCCACAACAATAGCAGCAGCAGCAACCATCATCCACAAAAATAGCAGTTGAATTCACTCAACAACAAAATGTGGTTGTTGATACATATGTCGTGAAATTGTTTCTACCCAGCCCAGTTGGGTGCAGAATACCACAATCATTCCTAAAAAAAAACAAGGATAATTAGAAAATTTTATAAATAGCGCCATCAACGAAATTTTTATAAATAACGTCATCAATGAAATTTTTATAAATAGCGTCATCAATGAAATTTTTATATAAATAGCGTCATCAATGAAATTTTTATAAATAGCGTCATCAACGAAATTTTTATAAATATCGTTCTCATTACACAAACCCATTTCGATTAAATTCAACTAATAGTTAGAATTTCAGTCGTAATTTTCTCCCTTACTCTATAAATTGAAACTTCAAATGAACCCTCAACAAAATCCACTACCGAGATCGTTGTCACTACAACCAAATCCACCACCGCAACCAATTCCATTGCCATCACAACTTCAACACGTTATATTTAGAACTAATAATATTTTCGACGACCAGGCGACTACTCAAACTCAAAATGACGTTGCAAGAATACTCTAGGACTCTTGGAAACTTATCAATAAGCATCATCCTCATACAATTTTTACCTCACACAAATTTTCATCCAATATGATTGTGTTATTTTATGGGTAATATATGTAAGATTGTAAATTTTATTTTAAAGAATTAGGATTTAAGAGTAGAATTATTGAATTTTTTATTAAAGGTAGTTTTAGATATTATCCACTACATCGTGAATTTAGTCTCCACTATAAAGGAGGTAACTGTGATAAATGGTATTAATAAGAAACTATACAGGATATAACTTTGATTTGAGAAAACTCTTTAAATTAACGTGTACCACATATCTCTTATTTAAACTGATGCTATAAATAATCAATAACAATAAACTTCTACATTTATTTAAACTGATGCTATAAATAATCAATAACAATAAACTTCTACATTATAAAACAGCAGATGTCCCTTATTCTTAAATTTCGGTATTAGCGTACAAACTCTAATTGGCGTATTGGTGGTTTTTATTTATGACAGCCCGTCTTTTTAGATGCATGATGGTTTAGATATGTTTGTGGCTTTCCGACAGATTTAATGGCGGTTGTAAATAACAATACCCATTCCTCGTGTTTATAATTTCATTATAAAACTAAATCACAGGTTTTAAATGTGAAATTAAGTTTATTCTGTACATATCTCCACAAAAGATTTTCCTAATTTTAATAAGTGGTATGCATTAAGATTTAGTATTTGATTGGTTTAGATTATATAAATGCATAAAATTGGTTCTACTGTATTACAACAAACGGTTTTTAGTGTTGTCACAATGCATAATCAATGGTATCATAGACAATAGTACACATGCGTTCGTGGATCACATGTATTTACATGCAAGTTTGCGAACTGCATATATTAATAATGATCAATCGATCCGATATGAGATAGATCAATAAAACCACTTTGGTTATTTTATGATAATGTAGTCAAAAAAACTTACCACAAGAAGGGTCGCCATGAATATTAAACATAATCTAATGATAAAACAATAAATTTATAAACTTTTCCATGCACATGTATATTATTTAATATTGTTAGTCGAGTACTGTTGATACCTAGCGTGAAATGTTGGTCATCTCCTTATTTTCAGACGCTGTCATACAAAATTTTTGTCGATTGCGATTGTTCTTTTACATTACATAGCCAAACATAAGGAAGTGAATAACAAAGAACCTTAACATACTCTCTCAATAAATTGAACCTTTTATACAACAACTTCAAATACTTTTAAGTCCTGAAATTCAGTTAGAACTTTCTTAGCATACTCAATAATCAAACTTCACATACTTATATCAATAATTTTATTTTGTTGATTACAAGCCAAATTGTACGTTTTCCTAATTAATGTTAATGTCAAAAATAAGGATTAGACATTATTAAAGAATAATCCAACAAACAAAAGATTTAATTAATGCGTGCCATTACAACTTGAACAAATGAATCTTCTCGCACGCCAATTTCCCAGAATCGCGCAGCAGGAATACGATAAGCAATATATCCAGGAGAATTAGGTTTCTCTCATCACGATTGTTATCTTTTAGCGAGGATGGTGAAATGAAGCGTGGTGATGCGATTGTGTAACATCTACTTGGCAAGTGTGTTGGATGAACAGTTGGAGATGTTCTTTCTGCTTCAGCGCTTGATTCGGAAGCACGACGTTGATGGTTAAATCCAACTGGAGTTTCTCGCTCCCTCTCGTTCACGATATTATTATTGTAATGTTATTGGTGATAGAACCGATAAGAAACGCTGGGAAAAGAAAGAGGTAAAACTTGAAGGAAACAATGAAAGTGGTGGACTAAAGCTATAGCAATTAATTGGACTATTATTGTCGTGGATAGACAGAGTTTGCGCGAATTCGATGGTGAGGAGGGTTTCGTTGTTCTACTGTGGATGATGTGTTGTTGTTATCCTGTTCGAAACTATTGTAAGCGGTTGAGAAACTTAAAGTGAAATAATTGGAATTGCCATGCTTGCAAGTATTTTTTTGCAAAATAAAAAAAACTATGTACAAGATTATGGGTTTTTTAATTTACTATGTGTGTGATAATATATGTATTTATGTTTTAATTTATGATATCCCAAAAAAGGCAAAAATCATTGATGGAAGGTTTGCTATAGTTGTCTTAATTTAGTTAATTAATAAATCATTGTTTGTTTTTACATTCTTTTTTTTGTTTTGCATTTGCATGCATTGATCAATTAACATCCGAATTTGCATAGTCCACATTAAGATAAATGTAATTTTCAAGACTCAATAATTTCGGAAAAACCAATATTTGCTAATCGTAATATAATAACCCGATATTTTAATATCACAGAAAAAATCTATAAATAAGCCTTTCTTTCAGCTAGACTTCATCAAAATTTCCTCCACTTTATAAATTAAAACTTCAAATGAACCCTCAACAAAATCCACCACCGCAACCGTTGGCACTGCAACCAAATCCACCACCGCAACCGATGCCATTGCCATCACGACAGCAACAACTTCAACACACTATATTTGGAACTAATAATATTTTCGACGACCAGGCGACTACTCAAACTCAAAATGACGTTGCAAGCATACTCTTGGAAACTTATCAGTAAACATCATCCTCATACAATTTTACCCACACACAAATTTTATTTTTATCACCCAATATGGTTGTGTCAGGTGATTCACCATCTGATAGGGAGGGTAAATAAAATATTTTGGTAATAGGTAATATATGTCTCTCCCCTAAAGATTAGAAATAACCATAGACCATCCACTTGTATAGATCATCCACCACCCACCCCAAGCTGACCAATCACATTCAATAAAATCATGTAATTAAGAATTAACCAATCACGATTTCATATTAAGAAATACCGTAAAAGTCCGAAAATAAGCAATCCCCAATCCTCTCAATTTTGTCTTGAATAAGTTATTAATCAATTTTTCTGAAATTTTATATATGTTATTTATTTTCTAATTTTAATTCTTCGGCTGACATATCATTTTTGTAACTGAGCATCGTAGTTGTAACATATCATTTTTGTAACTGGGCATCATAGTTGTAATATATCATTTTTTTGTAACTGGGCATAGAAATTCTTAACTTCCTAACGAATGCCTAAATTGTGGGGGCGGTTAGTGATCCATGTCAATAGGGTGCGCAAATTTTTTGATCAACCCGGCAAAACAAATCCGACACAAGATATGAAAAATGAATATTACTCGAAAACCTATGCCTAAATCTGTCTTGAAATATTAATTAAGATTGTCGGGACAGCAATTTTACATATAATCTTGTCCTCTGCCCTAACCGTTACCCTTACCCAGACCTTATAAATCATAAATAATAGTAAATTTAAGGGGATTATTCACATGATAAACTACGGCTCTCTAAATCCGGGGGGCTCGTTAAAGCAAGGCAAGTCGTTTAACCGGTTTAGCCACATACCCGTCACATATTTGATCTGTATCAAAAAAAATAAACAAGTCAATTCTCTCTCTATAGCAATTAAATTTTCTAGAATGATTTATATATTACTATCAGAATTGATTCTTGGATAATTTTGAATAGTTTGAATAAAAATTTATTAGTAATTTAATTATATAGATATTAGACAAACATATAGTATATAATAAAAAACTTACCTATTTGCTGATTACATTAGATAATAAATAAATATCTTTAATTTTAGCTTAATCTATATCATTTTTTACTAAATTAAAATTAAATTATGATTTTATTTATTATATTTATTAAATAATAATTTTCATAAGTAAGCTTACAAAATTTATTATCAAAATATTATCAATTACTTATGAATAAAAGATACATAACTTATTATATTATTAAAATAAAGATATCTATTTTATATCTGAACTATTCAAACTAACTTAATTATTTATCTTTACTATATGATATAATATTAAAAAGCTTAAAAAAACTAGTACTTGAAATATTATTATAATATAAATTTTTTATATATATTTTATTAATATTGTTACCATTTTAAGATTATATATATGTAATTATTTTAAAATAATAATAGTAACTGTATTCACAACAGTTATTGACTTTTATAGCTTCAAGAGATTATATGACTAGTTATCTTTTCAATAAGGTAAGGTATGTGAGGTTTACTATTAACAAAAATATAATTATCTTCTCAATAAGATAATTTATACGTGTTTTACTTATAATAAAAATACAATTATCTTCTCAATAAGATAATATACATAAATTTACTTCTAATAAAATGCTCTCTCAATAGAGCAAGAAGAAAGTAAGATAAGATATAAGATAAATTATGTGTGTTTATTAAAGAAAAATACTAATTAACTACTCTTAACTCAGTAGTAATTACTTCTACCAAACTTAATTAT